AGTTTATTCACTGAAGGGTTGCCTAAATGTCTGCGAAAGCCTAATGTCACGTAATTTATGAACAAATGAAAACACTTGACATTCGGTGCAAAACAATGAGACAATCGGTTCAGTGAACTCAATTGGAGTCCAACCGAGAGTTGAATCGCTTGACAGCACTATAAGTCATAAACAATGAGTCAATTCGAGTGCTTCGTAACGATTGGCTCAGAAAAGCGCGTGATTTCATTGGACGCCGGAGTGGACTCACTGTCCGTGCCGTTCGGACACATCTACTCGCGCTTGAGTCAGTCGTCGGACGTGTCGCTCGAGAGCCATGTGTTTGAAGTAATCACTCATTGAGTCATACATTGAGGCCATGCTTACAGCCATATGTCAGGCATATGTCAGGCATAGTATAGTACAGTATAGACAGCACTCGTGTGCACATTGACCACAAGGACAGCACCCGTTGCGGTGAACCCGGCGTTCACTACAGCTATGGTTTGCTGTCATATGTGTTGTATTTAAACCGCAAACCAATGCATTGAATGGCAAATAAGACTACTTTTCAATTAAACGCGACTTTAATTTAATTGTATTTTTATTTTCCTATCGTTTGACAGATATTTGACTTCTCGTTCAATGCCTTCAACCGGTTGTCGAGTACTGAAACACCCGTTAAATACTTGTCCCGAATTAGGGTCACACCTAAGCCGGGGGTCACCCCAATGGCCCCACAGACCGATACCCGGGTCACACCACTGGCCAATAATGGCACTTATAGTAGTCATCATAAGGCTAACCATAAGGGGTTTGAGAGTAATCTGAATAACGATTACTTTAACCCAAATCTGGTGTTTGAGAGCCGTATGACTGAAGACTTCTTTAACACGGATTTCGTGGCAAACAGACGACGACGAGGAGGAAGAGGGAAACGGACGCCGAAGTCACCGATTGGTGCGATTGGAGACCACAGACCTGTCATTGAATTGAATGATTCGTCCGATTGTGAGATGAATGAAGACTTTTATAATGAAAACTTTTATAGTAATGAATCCATTGATGATTACGGCGGCGATGACTACCCGATGAGTGGTAGTCACGCGATGCCAACCCCTCCCCCACCGGGCCCTCAGCCGACGCCATACTACTCGCGTCGACCCAACCCGAGTGGACCGATGGCTGGCTTTTCATGTGCTGACTATTCGTACAATACATACGAAGACAGGCCTTATTACAGACGCCCCCATCCCAGCGCTAATCCCTTTCCCAATAGATATATGACTTCCCTGACACAACAGTCCCCTATGAATCGGTACTTATGTGACGATTATTCTTCGGGAGCCACACGTTTCGAGACCAGCTATGGCTCAGACGTGGATATGAGAGGACGTCCGCTACAGAACCCCTCCTTTGGTTACCCACAGAATCCGTATATGAATAGAGAATTGAGTGAAAGAGATGATAGGCTCAGCAAATCGATGGCTAACCCCTATTGGAGAGCACCTCAGCCCTCACCACAAGTGCCCCGCAATACCCAGAAGGACGTGAAGGCAGTGAATCTGTTGCTCCAAAACGGCATTTTATCGCAACGAGAGAAGGGCTTTGAGTACTACTTCTGTCAGTTCTGTGATCTAAAACTGTCGCCAATGGCTGAGGCTGTGGATCACACGTCAACCGTCAGACACCTGCACAACAGCGTCGAGAAGTATTACGACCCCATCGACAGACTCTTTCTGTTGAAAC